AAGGCCATAAAGACGTGAGCGCTTCCAATCCTTCATTAAGTATGTCGTTAGACACTCCTGTATATGTCCCCCGCAATATCAGTTGCCCGGGGGCCTTAGCAGACGAGTTGGCTGCGGCACTCTGCGGCAACCAAGCAAATGTAATGTTATTGGTTGCGGCAGTCTGCGGCAATACATGCGGCAAACTCGCGCACGGCTGCGGCAGCCTGGCATTTTGCCGCAGCCATTCTGCGTCAATCTGCAGCAGCCAGGCGGTGTGACACCGCAGCGTATGTACGATATCTTTACATTTGACTCGCTGAATATCCTGTGTTCGAGGCACGCTGTGCCAGCGTTTAATTCTGGCACGGATATCGCCATTATTACTTTACTCCCGCCGACGTTCCGACACTAAATTATTTGCTCATAGTATACCTGAGTCGCACAGGCACAGAAATGTTATCCACAGTTCATCTGAAGCATAAACGAATTAAAATCAGTTAAAGGAACGGGGTGCGGCAGTTGGTTGCGGCACTCACACAGCTACCCTGCGGCAGAATTTTATGCGGTCCCTGGACCAACTGAATTCAGGATTTTTGGATGGAATCAACTAACCGAATGTATTTGATTCTCTGGCCTATAAAATGGAGTTAAATTCAGTTGTGGGAGTTGATGCGGCAATCGTTTCGAAAAGTGGCTGCGGCACTAACACAGCCACTCTGCGGCAGTTTTTTTTGGCATTCAACAAACTTAATTGGGTCTATTCAAACTTCCGATAATTCCATGGGGCTGATTAATCGCACGTAGACACTCTGAGTGCGAAATCCGCGCAAAATTCAACCGTGGGTTTCAATGCGGCAACCGTTCAAAAAAGTGGTTGCGGCACTTACACAGCCACCTGCGGCAGTCTTTCTTCAACATTAACTTCGACTGAAGAATTAACTTTTGAGATTAGCATGTATAATGATGTCTCTAGGCTATTTATTGATGTTCAACCAATGAAAACACTGCAGAACAGTTTTTTTTCACAAGTTATGTTGTGATCTCAGATCTTGCGGTAACAGTGTCCGATCCAGTTGGTCAAAATGCACATCAGACAGACTCATCTCGGGATATCCTTAACATTAAAAGTGCTACATCTCACAAACGTAAAATCCATGGTACTAATATTGACACCGCTGGCAGGTGAGATTTTCTTAAAAGCCGCGAGTTGATAGGCGAACATACCTCGTCATCCCCGAGTCCTCTGGACTGCTATTTATGTGGCGAAAAGGCAGCGGACTCTCACGGTGAGAACGAAGTGCAGTGTGAGGTGTGCCGTGTCTGGTCCCATATTAAGTGCCAGGATCATGTATATCCCAATACCGACTGGAAAGACCCGGAGGTTCATTTTACGTGCATGCTGTGCATAATCGACCGGGAAGAAATACCAGAAAATGATTACGGGTGCGTGGACTTTATTACTCTCGCTATACTTATTCTGACTGGGATCCTGTTTTTTAAGCCACGAGCCAGGCGATATTTGCATGCTGCCGGAGGCGGAAGATTGGTACGATTTTACGCAGTGGTTCCCCGCAGAAGTGATCAGCTTCGATGCTTCCCGCTCAAAACGCGAGTGGGAATTGAGGTGGAGTCGCTGGATCGTTTGGACGAACGGTACGCCGGAGGATCTGTGGCTCTATCGGTCTGCGAGGCATTGGGAGAGTATCCAGTGGGTAAAATTGAAGGACGAGCAGGTAGGCTATAATTTGCGTTTTGAACTACCTCGTGATTCCCGCGACAGATCTGCTCGTTACATATCCATAAATGCTTCAAGCCCGTTGGCGAAAAAACGGAGATACTGGATCCCTCCCTCGTCAAGATCTTCAAGATTGCAGTACCCCAAATCGCTACCCTGCTGGCCGTCATGGAAGCCTCAAACGACGTCATCAAAAGCTACCTCGATTATTTCAGCCAAGTTCGCCCAACCCTGGCACATGAAGAGCAATGGCTGTTTTAAAATGACATGGTCGGTAGCGCTCGGAGTCCAGCCTTGGAGGCGATGTTAGAGTCCGTTGAGCAGGAACTACTCAATCACCGGCATCTCGATCATATTCAATTGGCGAAGCGTATATCTCTAGCGAGTGGGCCAGGCATATTGCTGCTAAAGTGACCAAGTAGGACTGCGGTATTTAATGTTGCTCCCTCTAGTTAATCAGCTCCGAACGTGGCTAATAATTTACTGTATTGTCTGTGTCATTAGTCTTTGGAGTGTAGTTTCTTCAATGTTTCTTTCTACCAGATGGACGGTCATGAGATCTATCAAATGGAGTGCACGAACTATTCTGACATTTGTAGTAGTCAGATAAAGGCGGCACCGTCGAACGCATGGTGATGACGACGCGGGCGGTACATATCGGAGTCAAGTGGGAGTCTTACGGGAGATGCCGTGAGTTGCAGGTGTAGAAGTAGTCGGATTCACTTAGTTGTCATAGGTATTCTGTGTCATAGTATTTGTCGCGACGGCACTAGTGACTAAGTTTGAGCAGCGAGTTGGCAGCGAGCGGAAACGGATGATACGCGGCAACTCAGTGTTCATGGAGTCAACATGGAGTCGTGTTCAAGCACAGGAGAAATTTGGCTGACTTATGGACACTCAGAGGCAGTCTGCAGCAGTCTGCGGCAGCGCTAATGGTTTGGTTGCAACTGGCAGAGTGACGCTGCGGCAGTGTGACATAGTTGCCGCAGAGGCTGCGGCAATCCAACGGTTACCTGCGGCAGTGCTGCGGCAGCCTGCGGCAACAACGGCACTTTCACCATGCCCCCAATGGGGGACATAGATCTTCGCGCAGATATATACCTAGAGGACCGCAGCTCGATTGTATATCGCAGGGGAGCGAGACGGATGTATTCCGCTCGCGTTCGTGACATCGATTCGAATATGACGGTGGCCCTGTATCAGGGAAATAATGCTGAGGCGGTGTGTTTCAGATGCCACCTTACTGAATCCAAGATAATTTTATTTGGAAGGAATGGCGGGAGGATATTCAACGCCATTTATGTCTTCGGTGGGTCAATACATCCCGGCCAAAGCCTTCGCCTTTAATTTCAGACGTAGCCATCCGAACTTTGTACAGATTTATGGCACGGCCAGCTCATCTGGTATACATGCTGCTGTGTTTTATGATGGTTTGTGAAGAATCTTCCGCACTGCCCGATGTAGGAATTGAGAGGACAATAAACAGATTTAGTTCCTATGAAAAAAATACTTGAAAAGCACCGCGGGTCCCATTTCGCGACTGTATATCTCTGGGACCGCCTAGTAATCCCTTCACCGGGCTTCTTTTACCCTCTTGACTTATATTCTCACAGGAAACAGAGTTCAATGTGCGAAGATTGTTTAATTCCCGGTGCCCATTTTTAGTTGGCCCCTTTGGATAGGATGCGGTGGCCTATTATAAGACATTGTGTGGCGGGACATGTCTGGTGAGCAACTTGTTGATGCAGTACTTTTGCGTTTTTCACTCCTAATATTACTCCAGGGATATTATGAGTGCATGATGTGGATACGATGCTCCACAGGCCGCCTCTGCATTGAGCTCATACCCGGATACGACGGCAATCCGATCGCATATGGATGGCGCATTCGGCTGCCGTCTCTCTGCAGAGTCCACGCATCATCTGTTTTCGAACCACCAGACCACTCGAAAATTATAGAGGGCATCTCGATGAAACAGTACCATGAGGTATGTCGTTTGTATCTCATGAGGCATATTAATATTCGGGAGGTTTCCACAAATACTTTGGTTCACCTGGGGAGCATCGTGTACATGCCGGCTGGCCGCGAGATTAAACAGGTTGCATGCCTGTCTGATCCCCAGTTTGAGTTTGAGGATCTTGGCTGGGTTTCTCCCGGCCCGCCCAGCCAGGTTTTGCACAGCGGTTGGACTCGGTTGGATGCCACTCTTCTGCCTGTTACTATACAGCATTGATCTTTCACAGGGTCATTTGCAGCGACATTTCGCATAGAAAGTTTACACGCTACTTTAGCGGACCGGCGGACCATGACGCTTAGCTTGCCCAGGCGAATCACATCATTGACTGTGCCAAGATCCCGTCGAAGTGCAGCGACTATAGTAGGTGTACATGGTGGACTCATTCTCACTTATGTGATGGACTCACCAGGCTTGATAAACTGTGTGCACTATCGGCTGAGACTGTCCGACGAGAATGATATCCCTCACGGATACCTATTCCTGTGTCCCCTGCAGGATCTGCAAGGAAGTTCCCCCTCAGAGTTCCGATATCGAGCCTGCCCAGCATACTGGTCCCTCGATACATCCGGTGCTCGGCGCCTGGGCTCAGAAGAAGCCGAAAGACTTGGCTTTCCATCATTTACACTGCGCATGACGGTCCGAACAACTTCCTGGGATGATCTTGTCTACGCGTGTATCCGTGAATTTCACCAAGCGAAAGGTTTTGATCCCTACAGCCAAGATGTCGCCCGTGAGCTGGGGTATCCACTTTTCAAAATCCGTGGTAAGACTGGTATCCTATGCCGTATCTCAACTCTGAGTTCTGACATTTGTTGTTCAGATGCAGATTTGCTTGAACATACCCTGAACTGGAAGGTTTTCATGTGTGCACAATTGGCAGGCATTGTCATTTCGACTCTATTTTCCATATGCCTGTAAAACTATGCACCAGGATATTGAGTGCCTACATCACCCATTGTGTGTGCATACAGCGAAAATAATTATGAATGAGAAGTGGGGTTGGAGTCCCCCCGAGGGCATTAGGGATGCCGTATAGTTTTTTACTTCTTTCGCCGCAGATCAAATTTAAACTATGAGAGAAGGAGATGTTCATCATACTTAAGCTCAGGTAAGATACTAACCCTCGTGGATGAATCGTGCATCACTCATTCCGAGCTCAATTGGCGATTTGAACCCATCCAACAGCGCCGTGGCCAGTGAGTTTTATTCCAGCTTTGAATTGTTAAAAGATGAGATCTTAGCCAAGTTCAGAGCTAGAGAAAATAGGCTCTCGTGGATGAATGGGACATCGCTCATTCTGAATAGAAGAAAATTGCAAGTGGAAATGCGAAGTGGAGGTTCGAATCCTCCTGAGGGCATGTTGAGTGTGACGAAAAGTCTTTCTTTTTGTGACGCTCAGCAAGAGAGCACGGAACAAGTCGATTATATTCCGGTTCACAGGATAATGAGATCCTAGCCAGTTTCAAGGATAGAGACAATAGCTCTCGTGGATGAATTGTACATCACTATTGCGAGAGAAGTAAGTCAGGGCCTCGAGCGTAAATGGGAGGTGGAGGTCAAGTCCTCCCGCGGGCATGTAGTAATAACCTCGCCATTTTTGCCCTGCAAGAAAACACTGAAGAATTGGGTTATATTCGGCTGAGAGGTAAGGAGACAAGCCCTCGTGGATGAAATGGTACATGGCCCATTGCTCATATATTGAGAAGATGCTGTGCCATGTGTGGGAGGCGGGGGTTCGATTCCCCCCGAGGGCATTCCACCCCAAACAAGACCTTTTTTTCTTACTTTCTTCTCCTTCTCCTTTTTTTTTTGCATACCAAAGCAGATGGGATCTCCGAGGTATAGATTGGGGCATATGGAAGATGAAATGGCACAAAATCCAGACACAACACCGCTCTTAATTTAACATTTATAAATAACTCCAATCCGACCCCTTCCATACTGATTATTCGGACGGAGTGGTGGGTAGCTAGTAGAACTTCCGTTCGCTTAAATATTACTGTACTGGGGCGCGGTTCCATTCAACTGTTGGTTCAAAACGCGCGCGATCGGCCGAAATCATCGGGCATAGCCGGCCATCAATTCAGACATGTCGGGCACTGCCACTCGCTTTCTGCGACGACGTCCACTTCTCGACTTGGTTCGAGCCATTCTGCCAACTTGATGGGCTGAGCTGTACGGCGTGTACTGGTACCCTCGCCACCGAAACTTGGCTACATCATCAGCATGTGCATCCACGACTATAGCGCCCCCACGAGCTCCGCGTTTCCTTACCGTACCGTGCTGACTCGTTGATAACTCCCCGCCCCGCTTCATCACATCTGCGCTGTCATGCTCTCAATGCGTCCACCCAGCGAAAACAGACAGGGCTACGAACGACGAAGTGTAACCCAGTACCGCCTGTATGTGCACATCCCTACATCCATCCTCGCTCGGTCCCCGGCCCCCGGATCGAGCAAAAATCCCAGCGCAGCCATGGCCTAGCACCGGCATTGGCACACGCCCCGTCACACCCCCCGTGCCCGCGCACCCCGGGTCGCAGGCCCCCCCGCGCAGAACGCCAGCCACGACCCCGAGGCGCACGACCTACATGCCTCCAGATCCTCGGCACTGGCTGCGCGCTCGCGACGCCCGCGGCTGCACCTCGATCCAGCACGGCGCACGCATGCACCTCCTTGCGCGGCTACGCGCCAAGCAACGTTTCCACCCCAAAATTGACTGCGCGTACGTCCCGTACATCCGCCTCCTTGCGCTGTACATGTCGTGCTGACGTTCGTGGATTTGTGTATGTAGGGTGTTTCTGGAAACCCCACGCCACGACGGCTGCGACGAAAGCGCCACACGCCATCACGCGGGGAGTCCGCGTACCCTGCCACGCATCCCGCCCTGGTCACAATCGCTTCGCATCGTCAGGTGCGTTCGCTGCTGAATCGCGATATCGCTGCCGCGCTGGTGCCTGTGCCTTTTGTCGCCCCCGCCGCAACGCAATCTTTACCCCCGCCGCGACTTCGCTAGGATAGTGCACTAGGGAAAGGCGGCGCGTCGCTTTTGAGTGGACGCCCTTTATGCGCCGCCGACGCGCGTGTACCTGTCCCCGACCTCGCAAGGATAGTCCCTCGCCGCGCCCTTGATGGAACACGGCGCCTCCGCATGCACGATGCACTAGGGAAAGGCGGCGTGTTGCGCTTGAGTGGACGCCGCGCCTGCGAGTGCTTACTCGTCTGCACCTGGTTTCATCGGAATCCTCGCCCCCGCCGCGCCCTCGCACGGACACTGCACCAGAAGGACATGGCGTATCGCGCTTGAGTCGCCGCCGCCCCTGCGAGCGCTGTTTCTCGCCCCAGACACGCGCGCTTATATACTCGTCTGCACCTGGTCGTGCGGGAATCCTCACCTCCGCCGCGCCCACGCACGAGGAGGAAACCGTGCCGCGACGCGACGTCCCCGCTTGCGCGCCTTTTCACATTACCGCTCTTGCACGCTCTTTCGCACTGCCGCTCTTTCGCATTACCACCTCTTGCGCGCTCTTTCGTATTGCTACTAGCCGATTCCGCGTGCTGCTTCGTGGGGAGCCCTTTGTCTAGCCGCCACTGGCAGGTCTGCGTCCAGGCGTTACTGCTAGTCACACCCTCGTCGCGCGCGTTCTGGATTGTTTTAGGACGTCATGTCCTTGATGTGTAGGGACACCAAGGAAACCCATTGATTGAGGCCACGATTTGTGTTCAAGTCAAGTAGCATATTCACACACCACCGCGTGTTGATTTTTTTTCGCTGCAGCTCTGAAGGGTGAAAAGATGAGAGCAGAACTGTGTTTAAAAGTAGAGACAATAACCCCTCGTGGATGAATTAAGTACATCACCCATTGCCAGTAACCTCAGTGCCTCGTGCGTAAATGGGGGTAGAGGTTCAAAAATTCCCCAGGGCATGTGAGGGCGAAGGTTTTTATTTTTATTTATTTTGGCCATGCAAGGGGATGACTGAAAACAGAGGCTTATATTCATGTTCAGCGGAGGAGAATAGCCCTTGTAGATGAAATGGTGCATCACCCATGCTGAGTTCAAAGGCAGCACAGTGAGAAAATGGGAAGTGGAGGTTCGAATCCTCCCGAGGGCATGTAGCCGGAGAAAGCATTTTTTTTTCTTTTTTGCTGGAGACCGCTGATAAATAGATTATATTCAGGTTCAGAGGTGGGGGAAAGGCCCTGGTAGATGATTTGGTACATCATCCACTAAGGATGTTCGATACCATTTGTACATCTGAATGGGAAGGGGAAGTTTGAATTCTCCCAAGTCCAATCCGGCTCTTCCTCTTCTATAATCATTGTGCATTCGGACGGAGTGGTGGGTAACTAGACATAATTTCTGGTTCAGAACGAGAGAAAAAAACGAACTCTTGTGGATGAATGCCATTCTGAGTTCCAGTGTGGAGTCTTCGTAGTCGAGTCGGCCTTTCGGGATAAGCTCACATAAGGAAACCAATGTAACAATGATTTCGTCAATCCAATGGTTCCCTCTGCTCCCAGAATCATTGAGCCTGTCGAGATTTCTGGATATGGTGTCTGTAATGGACCGATGGAGAGTCCACGATCCTAGAGGTTCCGCCGCTTTCTTTGACGATAATATCGCCCGTGTGTGCTGGAATTGGTAGGGAGGGACGTCCATGCGTGCAGCGACCCGTGAATAGTGGAAATATATGGCATGATGATCGCGCTAATGAAGGCCTGGATGTCAACAATGCGTCTGTCGATGAATTCTGCTGCCGATGGAAAGTCTTTGTCGGTGGATATAAAAATGGGCTCTCTATGTCGGGAAAAGTCAAATAGTTTTGATTGGCTCAGGTTTGGAATGGCGGAGCCGCCAATCTTTGCTTCATGTAGAATTGAACCGCGCCCCGGTACAGCAACATCTAAGCCAACAGAGGTTATACTAGCTACCCACCACTCCGTCCGAATGCATTGCGACATAATCAGTATGGAAGGGGTCGGATTGGAGTTATTTATAAATATTAAATTAAGAGGGTGTTGTATCTGGATTTTGTGCCATTTCATCTTCCATACGTCCCAATCTATACCTCGGAGATCCCATGTGTATGCAAAGGAAAAGGAAAAGGAAGTAAGAAAAAGGTTTGCATCTTTGGGGTGGAATGCCCTCGGGGGGACTCAAACCCGCGCCTCCCCTGCACGATTCACAAATTTTGCCATTTGCGGTGGGTGATGTACCGGTTCATCCACGAGGGCTATTCTCATACCCTCTGAATCTGAATACAAGGCTACGTTCTCAGCCGTCTCGTGCACGGCCAAAAAAAAGAGGTCTGGATGAAGACAACATGCCCTCGGGAGGATTCGAACCTCCACCTCCCATTTCCATCTTCGTTGGCCATCAGAACTCAGAATGGGTGACGTACCAGTGCATCTACGAGGACTATTATCTCCATCTTTGAACCTGGCCAGCTTCTCATCTATTCACATTTTCCAACGGAAGTTCGCAATATGAGAACCCCATGTTCATGTCCACTACATTGTCCTACAATCATAATGGGTTATGGACCGTTTCATCCACGAGGGCTATTCTCCTAGCCTATGAACCTAAATATCATCGATGTTTACCCTTCTCTTGCATGGCCAAAAATAAAATAAAAAAGTCGGAGGAGACAACACGCCCTCGGGAGGATTCGAACCTCCACTTCCCATTTCTATGTCCGTGCCGCACTGGAACTCAGAATAGGTGATATCCCGATTCATCTACAAGGCCTATTCTCCGTACCTTTGAATCTGAATATAATCGATTTGTTCAGTGCTCTCGTGCTGAGCGTCACAAAATGCAATATCTTTTCTCAAATTCAACATGCCCTCGGGAGGATTCGAACCCCCACTTCCCATTTATACGCTCGTTCCGCACTGGAATTCAGAATATCAACGAAGGCTGTTTACTCTAACCTCAGAACCTGATTTTTCAGTCCTCACTTGCAGTTGCACGTCAAAAAAAGAGCGCACTTCACCTTGTATATTCCCTCCAGGGGACTGAAACCCCCACTTCCCATTTCCATGTCCGCAACTTTTCATTCAAAAGTGAATGGGTGATGTATCAATTCATCTACGAGGATTATCCTCCTTACCTCAGAACCTAAGTATAAGCCCCTGTTTTGAGCCGTCTCGAGCAAGGCCAAAAGAAAAACGGTTGGTGCGAAGTCCATATGCCCCCGGGAGGATTCAAACCTCCGCCTCCCAATATTACCCTTGGCCAGATGAACTCAGAATGGGTGATGTGCGAATTTATCCACGAGGGCTATTCTCCTTGCCTCTGCACCTGAGTATAAGCCTATGTTTTCAGCCTTCTCTCGCACGGCAAAAAATGCACTGGCTACACCGTATGCCGTCGGGAGGATTCAAACTCAGAATGGGTGATGCCACCTCATCCACAAAGGCTGCTTTCTCTAGTTCTGAACACAGACACTCTCATCTTTTTACGCTTCAGAGCTATAGTAAAAATAACGGCTATTACTTGAGCTCAGAATGGGGTGCTGTGCAATCCAGCCACGAGGATTAGTATCATCCCACTTTTGAACCTGAATATGATCGCTCACATTCTTTAGTTCGTTTAACTTTCATCTGTTGCGAGAGAAGTACAAAAACTCGTCATTATTCCCGGATTCCCTCGGGGGGACTCGAACCCCCTCTCCCATGAATGCTGAGACACTTTATATTTGCGGTGGGCCATGTACCGGTACATCCACGAGGGTTATTTGTTTACCTTCTGCACCCTGAATATAACCAATTTTTGAGCAGCCTCTTCCAGGGCAAAAGAAAAAAAATAGTACTACGTGCCCTCCTTTCCTTCCCATTTACTACAGTTCGAGCAGAGGAACTGGCTTCGCTTCCTATTTTCTCGTGCACCAAAAAAAAGTCGATGCTATACATCGCTCCATGCCCTCGGGAGGATTCGAACCGTGCTCCACTTCCCATTGCTATGTCAAGGACTTGTTCTTCAAAAGTCAGAATGGGCGATGTACCGTTATCCACGAGGGCTATTTTTTCTACTCCTGACCCTGAGTAGACGAGATTTTTCAGCCGTCTCTTGCACGGGAAAAAGAACGACTGTGCAGCCGAGACATGCCATCGGGGGATTCGAACCTCCCATTTCCACGTTCGTAATTTTTTTCAACTCATAACGGTGATGTCCGATTCATCCACAAGGGTTATCCTCCTTACCTCAGAAGCTGAATATCATATATTATTAGCCTTCTCTTGCACAGCCAAGAAAAGAAAAGAAAACCATCGCCTCCAGTATGCCCTCTGGAGGATTCGAACCCCACTTCCATTTCCGCATCAGCGGTTCATTCCAACTCAGACCGGGTGATATACCGGTTCATCTACGAGGGGTATTCTCCTTCCTTCTGAACCTGAATATAAGCCTTTATTTTGAGCCGTCTCGAGCAAAGCAAAACAAATAAAAGGTCTTGCGAACTTTTTATGCCCTCGGAAGTATTCGAACCTCCACTTCCCATTCCCATCTCGCACTTGAAATTTTTTCTTGTACTTGGTATGGATGATGTGCCAATTCATCCACGAGGGCTTATTTTCTCTTGCGTGCCCAGTGTCACGCAGCCAGCCTGCGAGCCGGCCCACAAGGTGCCCCTCCAAAGATAAAAAAGGGAGTAAAAGAACGGGGGCGCGTGCAAGTCACAATGTGACGAAAGAATGGCAGAGAAACGATAGAAAGAAAGGGCTGCGGAGCGATCAATGGGAAGGAAGAACGAGGGAGGACATTCAAGTGAAAGAAAGTGTGAGTTGAATGGAAAGAAAGTATGAGGGAGAAATTGAATGGAAAGGAACGGGGAAAAAACGAGGGAACTATGCAGGATCATTAATGAGAAACGAGGAATTAGTGGAAGAAACAGGGACGCCAAAAACGCAGACGAGGCCACCTTTTACATATGGCATACAAGATGAAACTCTCGGAGTCGAATTAACTTTCAGACTTTTGTGCTGCCCAACTCGGATTGTTCTATTGAGAAACCCGGTTGCAGGCGGAAACCCTTCCTTTTTGGGTAATTTTTGAGAAACCTCGCCCGAAAATACCCCAAGCACATTTGGCGGCGATCAAGCCGTAATGCGGAGTTTGAAATTCATCAATCACACTTTTTGAGCTTTGAGTGAGCCATATTTGAACATTTAATAAGTCAACATGTGCTTCCCAGCACACCACTGAGCCCCAACTCAGCTCTGTCATTTCAACTCAGCTCTATTTCTCCGCGTGAGCGCTGGCAATTTGCTTGCTTCCTTTTCCCACGGTCAAGAAATTCCATTGAGCCTCCTTGAACACTGAAAATGAACAGGTGTGTGGACTGAGCCACTCGTTTGTTTATTAGAATCTCTAAAAATTCTATGGTATGTCCCAATCCGTGACAGTGGCCATGGCAGGGGTCGGCAGTTGTGGAATCACATTTTGAATCAATCAGTCACATATCATGTTGCAACAGGTTGGATATCACATTCTACCCAGTATTTAAGGTTGAAGGTACTTCAAATAACATTATCTGACCAGCAACGGAGGTCTGTGGCTTGAATCTGGAGGTATAATATATATTTAAAAATCGCAACCGAACCGGCGTGATCCGGCAGCCCTGCCGGATGCGGCAAGGGTTGTTCGCAACCCAGTTTCACAGCACAAAAATAGGAAACCAGGTTTCTCAATAGAATCATCCGCCCAACTCAGTAAGTTTCGCTGATATGTATTGCTGTTTATTTTTTTTACAAAGGGAGTGCCATATAAATATTCCATAGCATTTAACGCAAGACTGTAATGGGCTTGATTTTCCGTATTTCTTCGGCGTTGGGTCGAGCACAGCATCTCCGAGGTCCGATGTCAAGATCAAACCAACATCCGGCATAGCATGCACTGCTTCTCTTTCCCCTCATTAACCGCTCGCCACTTGTCGCCGCCATAACGAAACAAAATGGACTTCGTCACCATCGTACCTGCAGAACTCTGGCTTCTTCTATTCTCTTACCTCTACCTTCCTGACCTCGTCAGTGTATCTGCTGCTTGCAGATATTTTCAGGCATTAGCCGCGAATTCTTTGGACAAACATCGCTTCCATCGCCTCGGCCATGACTACCACTACGAACCCGCGTATTGGTACCTACACCTGCTCACCTTACTCCGGAAGCCGGCCGCGGCGTCCTACGTCGAGCACTTGACAGTCGAGCACACAGACTCTCGCGAGGAGGAAACAAAGCCGTGGCCGGTATTGCCCCTGGCGCCGGTGGATGAAGCCCTCATCAGGGAGGCCGTGGAGACGGAGGACTGGGTTCCGGACACCGACAAGGCACAATTTCTGTCCCAGTTGCTCGCTGGGGACGAGGGTGCAATGGTAACGCTCATGATTCTGCGAATGCCGAATCTGAAGCACCTGACCTTGCCGACACATTGTTGGGGCGGTTTAAAATTCACGCACCTGATGCCCATCGTCGCCCGCATCGTTGAGGCCGCCGCCGCCGCCGACCCGGACGCGGAAACGACGCTGCCGCTGTCCAAACTCGAGCACTACGAAGGTCACATCTTCAACGGACGCTACGGGGTGGACTTCGAGAGCATCGCTTCCCTCATGGCACTGCCTAGTCTGCGCACAATGAATACTCCGTGGAACGATGAAGGAGGGTTCGACTGGCCGGCGTCGCTGCCCAAGTCCCGAGTGCGGCAGATTGATATCCCGGACGGCACGATCACTCGCGAGGCTATTGTAGGTCTGGCCCAGAATATTCGAGGCCCATGTGTTATACTATCGTCCCCCACCATCCCGGACAAACCTAGTACTCGGACAAACAAGCGTATCTCGCTCAATTCCTGGCCGTTTTCTTTGATCTTTGATGTTATATAATCTGCAGTAGGCCCTCTATGAATTTCTACCAAGAGATGCACCCAAGATCCTGTGGAACCCTATGGATAATTCGAAGCGATTTGGCGTATGGGCTATTTTTAGATATATGCATTCACCCAAGATCCTGTGGTGATACAAATACGAATTAACGAACCATATAATGTGTATACAGTGTCAATGAACATTGATACCAAGTTTCATGGTAGGAAACAAGCTGGTTCCATCACAATCTTGAAATCCAGAGATTTCCAGATCTGGGGTCTGGTCTGTTCCACGGAAGATGGTACTACGGGAGGCCCGGAATGCATACAGATGGGTTTATAAGATCAGGCTGAGTACTGCTGCACAATTTTGTAACGAATTTTGACTCAAATCTATGCCAAGATGAAAATTGACGATGTGGCCAACTTCGGTTTATTGTCGATGCTGCAATGAGGCTGGCATCAGTGGAACAAATCTTCGAACAGCCCAAAATTTATTTTAAACAGTTCAAATGGACATGAGGAAATGTGCGGAGAGCTTCAGCTCATTCATATCCCTCCAAGTGAAACTTCTACAGACATATTGTTGAAAACAACCATAAATCCTGATCCTGCAGAATTAAATCATCCAGCTGAAGTTTAAAGATAATTTTTAGGGTTAGATGTAGTACAAGACATTAGATTAGATAGAAGGGAAGCAGTATACCAGGTTACAGTGAAATCGGTTGAGAAATGAGGGCGAGAGGATGGGATCAATCCTAAATCCGGCCATCACCTAGAACTCGGACACTGGACCGCACCCGAAAGAACGGCGCCGTTTGATGAATTCTTGCCCGTTTCTTATGAAACAAAAATTGTGACCTGGATAAAAGACAAATTGCTGACGATCAAGACACTCAGCTTGAGCCTAGACCTCGCGGATAAAATGATATTCACATATTTTCCTTACGTGTCCGAGTTCTAGGGGGATGATAGTATTCCAGTACCCAACCGAATGGAATGAAACTCCCGAGGACGTTGACTGGGATGTCCTCGAGATCCCATTCGAAGGTGCTTGCCGGGAGGAGTGGACGATCAAGTTCGGCGAGGAGGAGAATGATGATAATGATGCACCATAGTGGGAGGTAGGTAGGTAGGTAGGTAGCATTACACGGCACGGTCCCGCTGAGGAACGCCGGGGCCAGGGAATATCCCGGTGTACTAGTTACAGGATCTATATACACCTTCGTCCCTGACTTCTATGTACCCTCCAGGCCGAGCTCACGAGTACAGTTGCCTGCCTCGCGGTAGAACCTAGCTGATACACAAAAGCAACAAATGTTAGTAACAGAACAGCCGCATTTCCTCATCAAACCTCTATCCTGAGGATTGGCGTCGCGTAGAACACTTGAAGGACTTCATATGCAGATTTACCCACGAGCCCGA